AGGTGCGACAGAAATCTGCGATGTCGCTCTAAATCTTCAACCGGCTAGCCACCGGTTTCGCGTTATTATTCATCGCGGTGTGTTTGCCCAGCGAAAACATTTATCGAAGTTCGTGCATAAATTAATTACGGTATTTTAGTACAAGTGATGTTCTCAAACATCGTCCGAACGATGCATTAATATAACTCATTTATATATGTTTTTAATGCGTGTTAATGAGCTGTAAGTACGTTAAATATTTGAGAGAAAATTAGAATTAATAATTAACGCTTCGCTGCCGTTTAATATGTTGATTATCGGCTGCATTTGTGCTCTCCGTCGCTGTTTCCGGTCGTTGGATATTTTCAGTCTGCTGCCGATTATTTAAAGCACTTCCGTGTCTTCCGCCGATTCCCACTGCAAACGCGTCTGATATTGATTTAATTAAAATCGCTTTCCTCTTAGTAATTATCGCGTCGAAGGAAAGAAAGCAAAAAAAAAAGGAAAAAAAGAAAAAAAGAAAAAGGAGAAAAAGAGAAATAAAAGGAAGGAAAAATCAAAAGGGGGAGGAAAAAGAAAGGAAAAAATCGTGGACGTTTCCGGTCGATTAACTCTTTGCTCTGGGAAATCGTTCGAGTCCCTTTGAACGTTGCCAATCGAACTAAAGACTGTTTTGAAAGCTTATGCACACCCGTGTTTGCAAAACATCAAAACGTTTTCAGCGTTGCCTGACTTGTGGATTTATTTTTCAATCGTAACGCCGACGCGATAGGCGCCTCTCCAAGTGATCGCTGACGTCTATCAGAATCTGAAAAAAACAGATAACCGACCCGTATGAAAAAAGCAATTTTTCACCACCGTGTTTCCGTGTTTATGTTTCAATTTTTTTTGTGCGTGTATGTGTGTGCGTGTGTGCGCGCGTGCGTGTTTCGTTTATTTCCTTTTTCCTTTTTTCCTTCTTTTTTTTTTTTTTTTTTTTTTTTTTACAAACTACCAATACGAAACACAGGTGAAACCTTTGAAATTACTTCAAACTCGTGCTCGCATCGAAACACCGCCTGCAAAAAAGAGACGAGACACCAAAGATATGGCGGGGATTATTCTCTAACGAGGTACGGTCAATTTTTCGGCAACGATTTCTCTATACCGTTCTCTGTACCGCCGTCAAACTCTGCGAACGAATAACCGGAAAAATTCCCTCCCGCTCGCCGCTACCCTCGAAAAAAGGAACACGCGAGAGACAAGATGCGGAAAAAATTCAACAGGGAATCCATCATCGGTAATTCAAAGTCTCGCGAAAAGCGTCCGTGCGCATGCGAAAGGGTTCTCCCGATCCGCAGTTTCGTGAAACGTCGAGGCCGAAACTTCCTCCGAGGGAAAACTCCTCTGGTCGCCCGTTTCGACGGGACTCGTACGTCGAGTTTACAGTCCCTTCTGGCCGTAAAGTAAGCCGTGCGACGCCAGGTATCGTGGTTTTATCCGTTGAGAAGAAGAAGAAGAAAAAGAAGAAGAAGAAGAAACAAGAAGGAAAGGAAAAAAAAAATTCTCTATTTATACGCGAGCACGGGACGAAAAGAAAGTCGACCGGGCCGATATTTCGCCCCCATCGCCCGCCCCCGGCAAACAGTTTACAGGTAGAGACAATTCCGTAGGAAAAGTCTCGCCAAGACTCGGGCATGGGCCGTTCCTTTCCAGGACGAAGCTCTTTTTAATCATTCACGAGGGCCTGACGGCGGCGGTGCCTTTAAACGATCCGACTGAAATTCGTCCGGACGTCCAACGTCCGAATTTAAATCCTCTCAAATATTAAACGTGCATCCGGGCTGCTCGCGTGTCTACACACACACACCTATGTACACACATGTACACACGCGCGTGTTCAGCCATCTGACTTCTTCTTTCCTTTGCAACCCAAACGTTGGATCTGGTATGCGTACGTCCGTACGGGTTCAGGGCTCCGTTTCCAACGGGCGTGCTGTTAAACCCACTCGACTAGGAGAAACGGTTTGTATCTGGTCGACGAGCCGAGTCCGAAAAGCGGATATATAATAACGTAGGAATTATTCGAGTAGACTC